GAGGTGTTGGATGAGGGTAAAAAATAGAGCCAAATAATTGTCCCATAGTACAGAGACACCACAGAGAGGTGGGAGCCACAGGTGGACAAGGCTTTGCAGATGCCCTTGGTAGATGGAACCCTCAAGATGGTGGCCCCAATGCGACCATAAGAGATCAAGATGCATATTAGAGGGAGAGTAATGACGGCCACTCCTACTGTGAAAATGACCAGCTCATTGAGGGAGGTGTCCGAGCAGGATAGCTTCAGCAGGGCACCATAGTCACAGAAGAAATGGAAGATGGTTTTGTCACCACAAAAGGATAGCTGGGCTAGGAGGAGGGTGTGGGACAGGGCACTGGCACAGGAGAGGATCCAGGACCCAGCTACCAGTAAGATACACAGTTCCTCTCTCATGAAGGTGATATAGTGGAGGGGGTGACAGATGGCTACGTACCGATCATATGCCATTGAGGTGAGAAGGAAATTGTCCAAAGCAGCAAAAACCATGAAAAAATACATCTGTGTTACACACCCTGCGTAGGGGATGGCATGGTCCTGAGTCTGCATGTCTGTGAGCATCTTAGGGACGGTGACAGATGAGAAAGAGATGTCAGAGAAGGCCAAGTGGCTGAGGAAGAAGTACATGGGCGTGTGCAGGCGAGCGTCCAGCCTGGTGAGCAGGATGAGGAGCAGGTTCCCCAGCACCGTGGTCAGGTACATGCCCAGGAACAGGACGAAGAATGTGCCCTGCTGCTCAGGCCGGATGGGGAGTCCTCGCAGGAGGAACTGGGACACGCCGCTGTGGTTCTCAGGCCTCATCCTGGACTTGTGTCTGCTGGTGATGAAAGCAAAATGAAAAAAGCACAATCAACAACTGTTGAGATTAGGAGATGTCCTATCTGATGTGACACTGCTTCCATTCATTAAAAAATGCAAAGATCTCTAGTAAAGAAATGCAGTCTTTTCTTCAGGGGAGCTCAGGCAAATATAATTGAGTTAGTAAATGTTTCCTGGGTCCAAGGCTGAGGTCTTTGATGAGGGTATGGGACTATCCTAGGGATTCCAGGCAGGACATCAGCAGGCAGCCAGCTGGCTTATTCCTCATCTCCCCGAGGCTAGGGGTTCAAGGTGTGAGAGTCAGTGGACAGTGGTGATCGCGGTGCCCCTGTCTTTAGGAACTAGAAATGAGAAGTGACTTCAGCAAGAACACAGAGAAGTGATGAGGACCAGTGTGTTTACACACACACACACACACACACACACACACACACACACACACACACACACCTCTCTCCCGATGAAGGATATCTAGTTCTGCTCTGAACTTTATGCTAAAGTCATCTAGCCTCCGGGAGTAGGGACTGGTTTCTCAGCTTCTCAGTAGACACTCAGACACCGATTTAGCCAACAATTCTGTGGTCCTAAACCTCTCACTGACATCAGAGAGAAAAGCTGTGAGCCTGGGGCTTACTCTCCTCAGTTCACCAGCTTCACAAATGGAGATGTGAAGACTCCGGTCTACCTACTAGGGAAAAGATCCAAGGGGACAGGACGCTAACTCTAGGTTAGAGAAGTGCATTAAACATGTAGTAATTGCTTAGTTTACTCATGCTCCCTCCAAGACATATGCCCTAGGGCAGTGGTCCCTCAACTTAAATGTTCAGCAGAATCACCTGGGAGCTTGTTAAAGATGCAGATCTCAGCTCCACCTCTAGAGATGCTCCTTCATGAGGCCTGGGACCAGGTGTCCTCGAGAAGATGGTTCTAGGAGGAAACTGCCCTTAGGAAGAACATCGGGCTGGATGCCATATGAGTTTGGTCCCAGAAGGAGATGTGGAAACCTGCTGCTGGCCCTTCCCACCAGAGTTATGTTTCCCCTGTTGGGTCATAGCGTGGGATGTGAGAGCGGTTTTTCTCCCCAGTGGGTATTCCTTTATGATTTGCTGCTTATAAAATTAATTCTGCGTTGCGATGGAAATTTAAATAATGTAGACATGAGAACAAAGGATAAAGTCAAATTACTTCACCCTTCCATTACTTATTATTATTCTTCTAAAATGGTTTTTTATTC